CGTCTGCAGCAAATATAATTGACTCACGTAACTTTGTTATGTTTGTGTAAAAAACTTCAATAGATATACCGAGCAACGAGGAGCAGTTACATTCATCCGAATGGAATGCTTATAATCCCGTATTTAAATTACCAGCAATGGTAGGTACCGTCAGTGAATGAAAAAGTGCGCTACCCTTGTACAATATATCAACATACTTTTGTGTTTCAATGATTATATCCAGTTAGGATCTACCTACCGCTAGGTAATTAGTCTCGAAAACTTGACATTTAATAGAATCACACCGGATAACATGTTACTCATCTGCAAAAATTAATATCGAATTCTAATTAAAAAATGCTCCCATTTCAAATTTAAAAATAATTAATATTTCGAACGCAGTTTGCGAAAAGTAATTGGATGCGATCCTTTTTATTGGAAAAAACACACTCTCGATTTTTTTCTCGTTACAAAGGGTCAAAACCAGCAAGTGTTTTATTACGCTGGCACCACATTGTGGTCGGATATTTACTACGTACATAGATTTTCCACGTGTTCTCCATAACACAACCACCACAAAGTTGAAAACAATTCAGTGGGTCCGAGCTTCAACTATTTTAATGAATTAATTTCTGTATCCGTGCCAATATTTCCCTACATAGTGTAACAATTATGAACTGTCCATTCAAATTAATTTGTGCTTGCGTTATTATAGTTGGCAAGTACTACAGTAGAAACTATACCTACTCCCCAATTGGATACAAATTACCCAGTAAATTTATTTTTAGCAAGAGTAGTCATCGGCATTCTTAAATCAATCCTGCTCTATCGATTTCCAATAGATATCTAGCAGTTCCACGCTTTTCCATATGAACTAGTGAAAGTGACCTGTGACATACCTTAAATTGTGTGTTACACCTTACAGAATTCTATTGGAAACTTCAACCAACAATTACATAATTGAGTTGAAAATTCTCACAGTTACTCTCTTAAATCTAACACACCGTGCGATTAAAACCTCACATTCATTATCCCCAACAAATAAACACCCCTGAGTATGTATGTTAACTTACGACATTGTAAGCTATAAAAGATATTGTTGTGTGCAATGGTAACGGTCATTACACCGCACACAAAACACCTGTCCAGCTACTTCAATTACACACAGCTACTAACAAAATCTTTAAAAGAAATAATTATGTTTTGTAGCAGCCTTAACCTGCAAAAGTCCAAAGAATTTATTAAGAAAACTACTGTAATTTGGGGTACAAAATAAAAAAATTGAAATGAAAACTTTTATCTAGGTCGTACTTTGGGTTCGATTAAACAGAAAACTAACCATTTACAGATGAAACAAATTTATTCAACATCAATCAAATCAACTGACTGAAAGAATCTATGGCAGTCGGGGCCGCCAGATAACACACACCACGCAACAGACGATCGATTAAACAAACTAAATTTAAATAAAGTTATAATTATGTTAAGTTAAATAATCATTATCATCCGGTCGTGAGTGACCTTTTCAACAAACAGATGCACTAATACATATTTAATACAAAAACCAAACGATAATGCTTCGGAACCTCACTTTTTGACTTAAAGCTCGATTTAGACGAGATTGATTTCGTTGTAATATCATTTGTAGTATATGTCCTTTGATGGTGAAAAAATCCCTTTAACTGATAACTTGAAGACCTTAAAGAAAATTCTCTTCAGCGACAAAATAAAAAAGACAATTATTTAAGCAAAATTAACAATCAATAATTCTGATATAAAACCAAATCTACAGCAAATAATATGATCGACATTGCAATAGTAATTGAAATACACATACAGGGTCTCCCATCGTTATTGCACGTCCTCTCGTATGGGGTGGTACTTGCTCGGACACATTGGATCCTTCTCATCTACCAACTTCCACAAAGGAATCTCGTTCGGTGGCTAATACCTCGGCCATACAGGAAAATCGGGAGTATTATGTATATTATGAGTACTATGTTCTAATATCACCAAACATTATTTTTTTGTTCTTTTTGCTGTAGACACTTGGGCCCTTTTGTGATGAAGCTAAATTACCGCCCGCATGTTTCTCAAATATTTTTGAACACCAGAGGCGTGCTGCATTCCAGTGGCGTATCAAACATTTTTTTTAAATGGAACACCCCATATTTTATTATTGTTTTGGAGAGTACTTGAAAAGTACTTATTTTTTTATGTAACAGGTTATACCCCTAGCTTTGACCATTTCGCTATTACATATAAGCTTTTTTCGTCAAAATTTGACAGTTTTTCCAAATTATTTTTGAGAGAAACTAAATCGCGCAGGAGGTTAATTTTTGAATTGAGGCACAAGCTAAGACCTCTTCCACTGTCACATAATTTTTTTAAGGTACTTTATCGAAAACATCAAATTGTTGATTGACCTTCGCCAAATGTCATATTTAAAAAAATTTCAAATGGCATTGCCCTAAACAAATTATATCTTTGAGTAACCAAAACTATAAATTTTCCATTGATATAAACAAAACCAAACATTCCATAATTCTTTTCCGAACCCAAGTGTGCCATGATGAAACAAAAGATGTTCAATTCTCACAAGTGTAGGCAATGTATGATTGTGTTTTAATCAGCGTTGCGAAAATGTTCCAAACTCAAACAGAACTGGTTGATATCGTGTTTCTTCTTGAAGACTTTTACCGGAATTGTTTGTTGGCGTCACAAGAGTACGCTGGATATCCTGGCAGGACACATCCAGATCCACACGCGTTTCAAAAGATGTTAGGTAAATTTACAACTACTGGGAGTAGGTACTAATTTCACGCACACTTATATGACGATTGTCAACAGCTGCCCCGAGGAATTGTAATTATCTTCCGTCAAAACCGGCGTATGTTTAACTCTCCTTGCTCGTTTTACACTCCCAGTTTTACTATGAAATTTTCTTATGAAATGAATCAATGGAAAATTTGTAGTTTTGGCTACCCAAAAGTATAAGTACCTACCTACTTTGTTTATGGGGTTGCCATTTGAAATTTTAAAAAATATGACATTTGGCGAAGGTCAAGCAAAAATGTAATTTTTTTGTACCTAAAAAAATTTGTGACTGTGGAAGAGGCCTTAAACTGCGCCTGAGTCCAAAAGTTAGCCGCCTGCGCGATTTAATTTCTCTCAAAAAAAATTTCGAAAAACTGTCAAATTTTGACGAAAAAAGGTTATAACAGCGAAATCTTTAAAGTTAGGGGTAATGTTACATTAAAAAAATAAGTATTTTTCAAGCACGTTCCAAATCAGTAATAAAATATGAGGTGTTCCATTTACAAAAAACGCAAGTTGGTTGAATACGCCACTGGAATACAGCAGACTCCTGGTGATCAACAATATTTTAGAAATATGGCGACGGTAGTGTACAATTTTGCTCTAAGGCTTTTTTCGGTATCTTTTATGGTAAAGGAATTATAATCTAAAGAGTCTTAGGTGCTACACCCTGTATAATCGCTTCGCCGCTAAGGAGCGTGTCTCGAATTCAGTCGATTATTTTAATGTCCCATAACCTTCTTATTATTAAAGATACCTAATTGATTTTGGCAAAACCTTTTCAACTTTTTTTTGTAGAATCTCTAAACTACATTTTTTCATACGAACCACCTCATATACTTGGACGTTTTTGAAAAGAGCGTAAAATTTCCTAAATTTTGATGTATTACTATATTAAATATAATTTCCAATATTGCATTTTATACATTAAAAACATGACGAATAACATACGGCAAATAATGAAATGTAATCATTTAATTCATCGGATTGAAAAAAAACTACAGACAAAAATCACTTAATTCCTCGGATTGGAATAAAAAATAGAGACAAAAAGTAATGCAGCACCTGAATTAACAAGAAGCAAGCCCGGTCACCAAAACAATTCGGACCACAAAAACAAGTTTCTTTGAGAGATCACGTGTAAAGAATTCATAACTTTTCACTTTAACCAATGGTAATAGGTAAGCTACTTAAGGTGGCGTTTACAAAAAGTGCAAAAGTTGTAATTTCCTCAATAACTTTGCTTCGAGGTAAAAAAATAAACTTATGTTAAAGACTGATGGTTGCTGAGGGTTTAAACTTGTGAATGAAGTTAAATTTGATAACAAATTATTATCAGTGTGTGATAAAAATGAAAGACATATATTTTATATGGGAGTTTTTTAACCACTTATCTCCTAAATAAAGGCGAAAGTACAGGAATTAGCTAAATAATTTTTGTTTCATGCAAATGTCGGAACATTATATATTTGAATGAATGCTATTTCAACCAAAAATTTGTACCCAGAAGGCAGTTATTGTGGAATCAAATTTCCAATTTTTCAATGTAAACACCAAACGGCTTCGCTTGACGAGATTTAATGCTTGGAAAATCGGCTCACTAGGAGCAGAGTACTGGGAGTCCAAAAAACGTCAGGTTCCCGTCGGTCACCCTGTATTTCCAATTCGATTTGGACATTGACTTCATGATGTCTAATAAAATAATGTTTACAAAATTAAGTGAGAACGAGTAGAGTTAACGAATTACTAATCGAACATTAGCATCTCTAGTATAAACAAGCTTGAAAGACTCTACCTTGTATTAAATTTTCCAATTTGACCAACTTCGTATAATATTCAAAGAAGGCGGATATTATTTATAATAGGAAGTCAATAGTTTGTGTATTTGTGTATGTTTATGTTTGGGATAAGGGATATGGGGAATTGAATCTTTTGACTGGCAAAATGTTTAAAAATTGTTTCCCGTGTCGCAGTATGAACCTGAACTTATCCACACTTATCACCTACAAACAGTAATTTAATTCCATCTCGTTTAAGTATTTGCTTATCATATAAATAGCACGTATGATATGAAATGACACCGTCGACAAAAATTCGAAACCGCATTACATTCTCAGGAGATTCTTCTAAATATTTATATTCAGATTGCGGATATAGATTCCTTCATGACTACAATAAATATCATTTTTCTAAACGAAGCAGTCCCCACCCACTTGTCCACGCAGTGAAAAACAAAAACATTTAAACTACACTATTCGTTATCTGCAATTAAAACTAGTTCTGTTTTGTGACTACCTATAACTCTTTAGAATGCTGTAAGTAAAGTACTGCCATATAAACTTTGCCTAATGTTGAACATTGATAGAGACAGTTCAGAAGGTCCCTTTGACTTGTCCACCAAGAACGCCATCTTAATCGATCTCGATGGTTGTAAATTGATTCCCGATCGTCCAAAGCTTTTAAAATACGAAATAATTGTGCCGATGCACACAAACAGCGTACCCACAACATCATGGGTTGATAAGTTTGGAGAAAATTCAAGAAACTTGTGCTTTTATTCTACAACCATTCGGAACGTTCTGGAAATACAAGTCTACTACCCTTGCGTTTATAATCACATTCCCAAAATGTACAACGTCTTCGTAAACCAACAGCTTAGGGCAGTTTTGTACATTAAAAACATTGAGCAGTTTAACGTTAATTTTAAGTCTATGGAATAAATTAACAACTTTGCGTTTTAAAATAATATTTATATTTAAATTGCTCTGTGTAATGGAGGTAAAGTGGAAGTTCATTATTGGATGTACTTGCGAAATGAGTAGGTGCCTACCACCTAATCATTCACTAACAATTGTTAATAAAGTTTGTGTTATACACATAAATCAATAAATGCAATTTTTAGTAATTTACTACTTTTGCAGAGCAAGCTGTTCTTACTTAGTGCTTGTCTCCAGCATGGTACTGTTGCAAAAAATGATGCAACAAAAGTGAATGCACTCAAAACACATCTACGACTATTTATCATTGCATATTTAGCCGTCAGTTCAAAAAAATATCAGACGCTCGTGAGATTTCCTTGAGAGCGGGTCTATTCGCGCAGCCCAAAAATAAAGAACCCTCCTCCCCTATTTACACATTTTTATATATGTATAAAGAATGGTATTGGGATTAGGCTTTTGTGCCCACCCGTTTGTTCCTTCTTTGTTTAGGACATATATGGAAAAATCCTAGGAAAAATCAAACGGGGGCTAAGTGAAAGCTTTGCCCCTCCCTCTCCTCAAAATTAAACTTTTTATACATAGTGGACGGTGTATTGCAAACTATTTCGATTGTTAATTGTTTCAACTTTGCACTTGTAGAAGTTGTTCCCGGGAAACAGGACTACTGTAAGAATGCTTCATCCTCATGGCTTGCATCTTTTCAGTTTCGGAAATACCTTGAACAGTCCCCCAAAATTAAACTCCTTCATACTTAACCGAGGGCATTACATCTACTCTATTCTATATTATTCACAGGGGAGCCCGTCCAGGCAGCACAGTTGACGTCCTCAAAAAGTGAGTCCATCATGGTCCGCTCTCTTTCTATTCATAAATTGAAAAACATTTCCGTCGTCCCGATTGGGGATATAATGACTCTGCTTCCGAGTAAGGTGCGGATCCATCTTACCTACGATTGACACATCATTACTAAAGCCTTCAGCAGTTTCACTAATTGAACCGGTGGTGTTAAACGCATCCCCGCTCCCAGGGCTACCCCCGACACACATTCCTTTCTCCAGATCACACAAGAACATGTCTATGTCTAAGCCGTTTTTAGAAGAAACGATGATAGGCTGATGGGCCTGTAATCCTTCGCGATGTCATATTTGACAAGACCCGGCTTAGGTAGGTACACAACTCACCTTTCTGCAGCTTTCGGGGATATACTCTACCGCCAGGGCGGTTCTAAAGAAGTGCACTAAATGTAAGAGCAGCGCCTCAGGGCCGTTCTGTAGAAGAACCGGGAATATCCCGTCCGCATCTGCACTCTTAAATGGGCTGAACGTGTTGACTGCCCATCTCAGAGATCTCTCGATAACCACCCGGGCAGTCACTTTCCAGTTGTTCGGCCTTACACCGACCCGGATGGGGGGTGGGTCCGGAGTTATGTGGTCTCCAGAGCCTGGAAAGTGTGTTTCCAGGAGACATGTGAGAGCCTTTTCCAACACTGATCTACGGCGCTCACTCCCCCTCCTCTAGCCCCCTTGCGGAGAAGGATTCAGCTAAATTAACTATATTTGGTTGATTCTCATTGTCCAAGGAATGCTCTTTTCAACCATACCAAATTTGTTACAATCGGTCAAACGGTTAAGAAGTTAAAGCAGGTTATTGCAAAAACAATTGAACGCCCCACACCATCTTTGTTTTTGAAATAACTGAGTTTTAGTTTTTACGAAAATGATAAACTGGTTCTCTTTAAAAATGTAAATTGTTTAGTTTATTATGCGAAATTTAAATAAAATGCAATTTTAAAATTTAAGATGGCAGTTACGCCCTCTGTTGGTCATTTTTAGAACTTGAAAATATTTTCCAGCGATTCTTCATGACCGATTTACGTAATAATTTTTTTACCCCTAAGTCATATGACGAACGGTTCTCGAGATATGGCCGAGGAACAGTCTTATTGGGTCACCCGGTACATACGAAAATTTTCTTCACACCCAATAACAAAAAGCATTCACCTGTAATTGAAATCAATTACACCCGTTACAAACTACCTTCCGCACAGCCATTACCAAAGAATGCTTCGGGAGGTAGAAGTTTTGTGTGTTTATCCAAACCTTCACATCATAAGAAAATTCGAAAATGTTGCGAAATCGATCGTTGTGGGGCATTTTGTACAAATAACACAGTGTCGGCGGACCTTGTAACTGGCTTTACGGGCACTTCTATAGAAAATACGTCCTTTAAGTTAGGTACTCTTTTTTTCACTTTACTTTTTGTTGCTCTATTTATAGATATCAAGGTGCTTTAGAAAAATGCAGAGCGTATGATGTAAATACGGAAGGAGCTAATTCCTTTGCTTATTTTATGACTAAAAGTTCGTATAGACGAACTCTTCGTTACCGATCTATAGGATGTTAAAATTGGATGGTTTAAGTTTTCTCCTGCATTGTTTCAGATGTTTTACTCAGATTTGAACTATAATATACGCCGAAGGACTCACATCGTTGGTCATGTCAACCGTAGTGAGAATCTACAGGGTGTTGTTTTTTCAGGGGTCATGTTCAATTTTCTACAATTGAACTTTTTTTGGTGCACCATTGGTAAATTGTAAAACAAGAATTGACTTTTTTGATTTATTAAAAAACTTTTTGGTCTGTTGAATTTTTTTTTGTACTGTGACTTGTCAGGAAAAAAAATAAAAATCAATTTCCCGTGGTTGGCTAAATGCAAGTATAATTTTTAAATTGGTTCAGTAGGCCCTGACTTTGTTTGGGTAATAACTTGATTTTATTAGTTTGTACAGTTGGCATTGAAAATTTGTGTGTGTGCATATGTTTACATCTTAAAGGTTTAAATTGTAGTGTACGGTGAAATTATGACACCCTGTAGATCGATAACGAAGCGTTTGCGAACCTATATGCTTATATGAACCTTTTGTCATAAAATAAGCCGAAGAATTATTACATCATGTTTAGGAACACCTTGTATATAGGGCTTATCCCAATACCACCTCGTCTGTGCTTTCAAGGTCTCATTTTTATTGATTGTATCATTATGTAATTTACTTGAAATAGGTAACAAAATATTTACTTTAACAAACGGAAGCCAATATCTGATTATGGTACACTCTTTGTAAGTATTTTAAATTTGGACTGATACTAGTTTCATTTTCATAGTAATGATATACATTATGTTTTATGAAAACATCGAACCTGTACGAGGGTCGTTCGATAAGTCTCTTGTTTTGAAATAAATAACAATCATACAATAGTTGTTTGTACAACTAGTTAAACTAGTTTTGAAAGTAGTATAGTAGTCGTTGACATTACTGATTTACTGTCACTCAAAAATTAATGCTATTGTTCATAGATAGGACCAAACGACATGGAAATGCATAGTACAAATTGTGAGAAAAGTATAATACATGCACGAGTGTATTGTCGTTGCGAAACTATTCTTATCCACGCCGTTTCGCCGCGATTGCCAGCCTGCAAACGGACCAAAGGTACTGCTCCTGTTTTTGTATACCTACTCACTCAGCCTCAGCTCTCAATTTTGTTTTATTACACCGCGTTAAACTGAACTTCAAGCGAGGCACTGAATGCGGCTAATTTAGTAAAACAAGATGCGGTTGATGGAGAACTGAGAAGTTACCCACCGGCTGTTGATCTACCGCTTCGGACTATTTTAAATCTGCTAGTACTCCCAATTTACGCCAACCGGAATTAATTTATACAGTTTCCAATGTGGGTAATGGATCAACTACTGACAATTGGGTGGATGTATGCAAATCGATTCGTACTCATTTAAATTAAGTTCAGTTTCACGCTCTAACGAAGACCATTGATATTAAAGCTTAGACGAACATTAATGGGATATCAAAGAACGACGAACTTTAAATCGAGTAGCTGATGAGGGGTGGGTTTCATTTACATTATCTTAGTTTGCGCAACGCCACCTGTTTCACTACAATTTCTGTTGATTCCAAGTTTACGCTGCGTAAATTGAATCGACATTTTGTGTTGCTACAATAGGTAATTTAATAACGGAATTATCGCGATCAAATTTATGAACCGAAATGTATACCTAGTGTCTCTATTTGACCCATTAGCAGCTCAAATGACAAACGAATTTAGCAATTTCAATCTTATAATTACTGAACACGCGTAGTGCAAAGAGAAATACTGGTCACTTACTGACTCGTCGACTTGTAGTTGCTCTTGGGTTATTAACTCGTTGTATAAAACTTAGCTGTTTTGCTTTACCATACCTGGTATGTATTATGTGATAAGTAAATAATCCAAAACTTAATGTACCTAAGTAAATTTATGACCAGAAAATTTGGGAACGTTATGCTCAGATAAAGCGCCAATTTTAAAATCAAAATCGATACGTTACCTGCATTATACCTTTAAATCAATAAACACTGTCCAATATAGGTTATACAGCGCCGGATTTATTTATGATGCAAACGTTATAGGTCACAATTTAAATAAAATGAACCATTCTATGTACATCAGTTTCCAAGCCTCACTGAAAAATCTACAATCGTATGGTTTAATCTGAAAAAACAGCATCAGGTGTTCTGAGACCGGCATTCTCTCCTAGCGAGCAAAACAATGAACCCCCAAAGTCCTAAGGCTCAAACCATATAAACGAATGTTCAAAGAAACGGAAACGCAATCCATTTATTTAATGCGATGTAAAGATACCTTATCTAGATCTAGATGATATTATGTTAAACAGTAAAAATGCCATAAACGACCCAAGTTTCCAAATAATTACGGAGAGGTATAACGACGACCAAGATCTCCTTTTCCAGTCTTAAATCCATTTCATAGCAATTTTCAATTTTAACGTAATTGTTTCATAAATCATAGTCTAAGCGATAGAGACTGTAAAATTGGCAAACTGGACATTTTGAGGTGGAAAAGAAAAAATGGTGGAATATGTTCAGTTAGGTGTCAGAAACAACATATTAAAAATCCCCCAAAAACCGTGTTTTCGCCTTTTTTGGCTGATATCTCGCGATCTATGAGGTCTATATGAAATATTTTCAGCTGAAAATATTTCTCGTGAAATTTCATACAAGGTAGATACTCAGAAGTTAGCCTAGGTGTACCTCTTAGCCTAGGAAATTCATAAAAGAGGCTAAAATTATCAATTTTCTTGACTTTTTGCGGTCTTTTGCAAATATATCGCGACCTTTAGGGCTAGATGAAATATTTTTAGCTGAAAATGCTCCTCGTGAAATTTCTTACAAGGTAGATACTCAGAAGGTAGTCTAGGTGTACCTCTTAGCCTAGGAAATTCATAAAAGAGGCGAAAATCATCATCAATTTTCGTAGCTTTTTGCGATTTGTAGCTGAAAATGCTCCTCGTGAAATTTCTTACAAGGTAGATACTCAGAAGTTAGCCTAGGTGTACCTCTTAGCCTAGGAAATTCATAAAAGAGGCGAAAATCATCATCAATTTTCGTAGCTTTTTGCGATTTTTAGCTGAAAATGCTCCTCGTGAAATTTCCTACAAGGTAGATACTCAGAAGTTAGCCTAGGTGTATCTCTTAGCCTAGGAAATTCATAAAAGGAGGCGAAAATCATTAATTTTCGTGTTTTTTGCGGTTTTTTACAAATATATCGCGACCTTCAGAGCTAGATGAAATATGTTTTAGCTGAAAATGCCCTTCGTGCAATTTCATACGAGGTAGGTAACTGAAGAGTTGGCGTAAAGTCACCTTTCACCTTCAACTTTCATGTGTGAGGAAATATTCATTGTAAAACAAAGTATTTCTATGTACCTACCATTTATTCACGTAGAACAGTATTTTCATATCAAAATATTCACACATTATACCTCAATGTAATCATTATCATCTACAGATTCCACTTCTTCAGGCTCTTCGATGTCCTCTAGTGGTAGTGGGTCGTCTGAAATTACCGACTCGTAGTTCTCCTCATCTTCCGCTTTACCTACATGGGTACCCTGAAGAGATGGCGTGTCATTTAGGCACGATGTCCCATGACACTGGACGCAGAATTCGTTCTTTAGACCTACAACAAGAAGCATTATGTCAAAAAAAATTTTGTAATTAAATATACGAATATAATATTCTCTCGTATGTCCTAACTCCTAAGTGTCCGGTGGAGAAGGTTTATCTGATTTTCTGAAACTGCAAGCAGTCATGCAACCACGTTCACAACCACATGAAATAAATTTGAGGAGACTTTCCTGACGCCTATCACGACTTCGGATCCAGCCCAGGAAAGTCTTCTCAAACTTATTTCATGTGGCTGTGAACGTGGTTGCATGACTTTTTGCAGTTTCAGAAAATTAGGTAAACCTTCTCCACCGGACACTTAGGAGTTAGGACATACGAGAGAATATTATATTCGTATACCTAATTATAAAATTTTTTTTTGACATGCTTTTTGTTGTAGGTCTGAAATGTAACGAACTTTGCGTCCAGTGTCATGGAACATCGTGCCTAAATGCCACGTCGTCTCTTCAGGGTACCCATGCAGGTAAAGCCAGTGCCGCGTTTTGGCCTAGGCACAGTAGGCATGAGCCTAGGGCCCGTTGAAATTGGGGGCCCGCGAAGATGCATGCATCTTTGATAGTTGACGATATTCATATTGCAAAGAATTACATTCATATAATTACGTGTACGTCAAAAAATTAAAACATTAAGAGGTTTTAGAGGTATTGCAATTTTCCAGTATCATATGTTTAATGTTTTTCGCTTAAACACGGTAATATGATACTAGTGGTTAAGAGTACACAGATCAGGTCACAACTGACACAGCAGCAAACATCCGTACGGTACGGTACTAACTGCGAGTTGCGACAGCGAAATGCGAATTTCGAAGTCGATTAGGTAGTCGAAGTTGATACGACATAATACGAATTGTAAAGAGAAAAGCGTTGATGCGTCTGTTACACATTATACAATGTTAAGATTAAGAAATAACAATATAGTTTATTTTTGGCGCATTTTTGGGAAAAAATACGCTATTATATTCGTGATGGCTGGCTGGCTGTGCGGATGCGATCGCAGGAATTGCAATTGCTAGAGACCTTAAATTTTCACTAAAAGCTTTCTGTTATAGTGTAGATGTGCAGGCTCTAGTCTATTTTGAGTTAGATTATTCGTGAGATCGATAATTTTAAACTTTGCTAATGAAATACTGATCTGCATTACCAAAAATGCGCTTTCATCATCCATATGCTGATTTACAACTTGTTTTTTATTTGACTTGATACGAATACGAACGATAATGTTTTGCTACTGTTTATAGTTTAAGTGAAAAGGTGAAGGACTAAACCGAGGACTAAACTGACTAAAGGATTTACCCTATCTTTATATATATAAAAGGGACGTTGGTGTATGTTAGTTAAAAACGCGAAAACGGCTGCACTGATTACGACAAAAATTTATATATGTACTATGGGAGTTGTGAGCCGTGTACATCTCGAATTTGACGTTTGTACGACAAACAGTACTATCACCTCAAGTGCAGGTGTTCAATAACACTAGGCAACAAAGTTTACACGATAGCTAAAAATAGATCTGTTTCGGTTTGCGTTCTAAAAATAGAACTGTGACAAGATTTACCTATTTCGTTTGCTAAGTGGGGTCTCGAATATAAGATTTAAAATTGAAACCACCACACACTCAATTTAAATTGTTTATTTTGTTTATTACATGGAAATGTATAAAGTATGTACTTATGTATTATAAAGATAACCTAATTACCTAATCAGCTACCTAATTATAATTACATATTATAGATTCACTCTGGGTTTGCTTCCGAATCCTGTATTTGCGACAATTCCGAATCCGGTTTTTGCGAATCCTGTATTTGCGACAATTCCGAATCCGGTATTTGCGACAACAAATTGTCTACATCCTCATCATCGTTGGATGAAAATGATAACGGATTAGATGATGACTTTTTTGACGGCGAAAGTGATGTCATTGTGGATGGGGTTGAGGCACTGAACGATGAACACTCAGCTTCCAGTTTTCGTCTTTTTCTCCGTTCGATAGCTTCCATTTTTTTCGCCTGAATTTTTCCTGCCATTTGCATTTGTCCAGCTCTTTCGCCCCTTATCCGTTTGCTGTTTTCCACCGTATGTCCACATATTTCGCAATATCTGTTTATCGCGCAGATATAAGCAGTACACACCGAACACCGCAATACCGACGCTGACTTTACTTCGTGCGATAATATAAATGGGAATTTATCACATTTGCTACAGCGATCTGTAAAGAGTAATAATAGATATTACATAGTAACATGTTATTATATTATGCATACCCAATGGACGATCAAACTCCAGTTGTCTCCTTGCCCCACAATAACTGCAAAAACGGTCCATCGTTTTTTATAATATTTTTCACTTTAATTACAACAGAGATCTAACGCCAGGCACCGGGACCACTGGACTGTTGCCGAATGCCGATATGTCGAAGTAAAGTAAAAGCTTAAAAAATTGTTCGGGGGTGAAGTGTGACAGTTTATAACGTCAACGTCAACGGCAGTCTCAAGTGCGCCCGACCGCCTGCCTGTAAACATTACTGCCATCTCAAGGGTACGTATTCGTTCTAAAAATAGAACTGGTAGACGGTCTCAGTTCTGAGGTTCGCAGTACGGTTAGTACTGAGTACGGTACGGGTTGTTAATTACATTTGGTTTGAATCGAGCGCAATGCCGCGACGACGTTCAGATATTGGTCGCCGTACACGACAAATAAATTACGTCCGTCACGCACGGTCCCGAAGAACAGAGGAGGAACATGCAGCAGAAAATGAACAAGTTAGAAATCACAGTTCACGCGTCCGTGAAAACATTACACAAGAACAACGCCAAATGCGAAGTGAAGAACGACGTGTTGCGTATCGACGAGTAAGATCAGCAACACGTGCCACTAATCGAATGACATTTCTACGGCTTGCATTCGACTATGATCCAACAATTGATTATAACTCGCATCGCAACATTGATATTGGTAATATGGATAAAGTGTGTGCCCATTGTCAAGCATTGAAATACGAAACGGAAGCGCCCGGGTTGTGTTGCGTTAATGGACAAGTAAAATTAACACCCTTACAACAAGCACCGGAACCGTTACTAACATTAGTATCTGGAACTACTTCTCAATCAAAACATTTTCTCACTAATATTCGGAAGTACAACAGTTGCTTCCAAATGACGTCATTTGGTGCAGATAAAATAATTACTGATCACTTCATGCCAACATTCAAAGTGCAAGGTCAAATATATCACACTGTAGGTTCATTATTGCCGATATCTGATGAACAACACAAATTTCTACAGATATATTTTCTTGGCAGTTCGGATGATGAGGTCAACACTAGATGTGCCATTACTTCTGGGATACGCCGTCAAATTGTAGAGTCATTACAAATGTTACTCGATCAGCACAATCAATTGGTAAAATTATTTAAAACTGCAATAGACCGAATGCCGTCCGACAATCACAAAATAGTTATAAGAGCTGACAAAACACCTGGAGGTGAACATTCAAGACGATTTAATGCACCAACAATAAATGAGATAGCAATTGTCATTGGTGGTGATCAATTTGAAGCTAGGGATATTGTTTTGCATCGGCGAAATGATACATTGCAACGTGTCTCTGAAACACATCGTTCCTATGACGCACTTCAATATCCAATACTGTTTTGGCAGGGAGATGATGGATATCATTTTCATTTGAAAATGATAAATCCAACAACCGGTAAGTAATGTGTTTTGTAAGTAATTTAAAGATAATCTAACTATATGACACTATTACAGGTACGGAAACAACCAAAAAAATTAGTTGCATGAATTATTATGCGTACAGATTAATGATTCGAGAGAATGGAGACAATCATATTCTGAAGTGTCGGCAATTGTTCCATCAATATGTAGTGGACATGTACGCAAAAATAGAGACAGAGCGGCTGTTATTCATTCGACTCAACCAACGACAATTAAGATCGGAGGAATACATTCATCTACGTGATGCAATTAATACGGATGGAAATGCAAATAACGTTGGTCGCATCACAATTCTACCATCGACCTATACAGGCAGTCCACGTCACATGCATGAATATGCACAAGATGCAATGTCATACGTTCGGCATTATGGTCGTCCGGATTTATTCATCACATTTACCTGCAATCCGACCTGGAATGAAATTAAACAATGTTTGTTGCCCGGACAATCGCACACTGATCGTCATGACATCACGGCACGAGTATTTAAGCAAAAACTAAAATCATTAATGGGTTTAATTGTCAAGTACAACGTGTTTGGTTCAGTTCGATGCTGGATGTATTCAATTGAATGGCAGAAGAGAGGATTGCCACATGCGCATATTCTCATTTGGTGTATGGATAAAATTCAACCAAACGAAGTTGATGGTATTATTTGTGCTGAAATACCGGATTCTGCAATTGATTCTGAACTATTCCAAATAATTACAAAGAATATGATACATGGCCCATGTGGTGCTCTTAATTTACATTCACCATGTATGATTGATGGCAAGTGCTCTAAACGATATCCAAAACAATTCATTCCAGAAACAATAACAGGTAACGATGGATATCCACTATATCGCCGTCGTTCAACACATGACAATGGTAAATCAATAATGGTGAAAGTACGCAACAATGACGTTGAGATTGATAATCGTTGGATAGTGCCATATTCGCCATTATTATCCAAAATCTATAAAGCACATATAAATGTAGAATATTGTAATTCTGTGAAGTCCATCAAATATATTTGTAAATATGTCAACAAAGGCAGTGACATGGCCATTTTCGGAGTGGCACCTGAAAATAATCTAGATGAAATCCGACAATATCAGCTTGGCAGATATATCAGCAGCAACGAAGCAATATGGCGCATATTTGCATTTCCAATTCACGAAAGATATCCAACTGTGGTACATTTGGCTGTTCATTTAGAAAATGGACAACGAGTATATTTTACCACAGAAAATGTTTTCGAGCGAGCAGCACAACCACCAGCAACAACATTGACTGCTTTTTTTGCATTGTGCCAAACTGATGACTTTGCTGGAACGTTATTGTACTCAGAAGTTCCACGTTATTTCACGTGGAATGCTACCAGAAAAACATTTGAACGTCGGAAACAAGGTAAACCAGTAACTGGCCACCCACAGTTATTTTCAAGTGATGCCTTGGGTCGATTATACACTGTACATCCAAACATGGCTGAATGCTATTATTTACGTTTGCTGCTGATTACTGTGCGTGGCCCCACATCATTTCACAGTTTAAGAACTGTAAATGGCGTATTGTGCGAATCATATCGTGACGCCTGTCAACACTTACATTTACTTGAAAACGATGAACATTGGGACAATTCCCTTCACGAAGCATCACTTACAGCTTCTTCATATCAAATGCGTACATTATTCGCAATTATAATATCAACATGCTTTCCATCAAGACCTGTACAACTGTGGGAACAACATAAAGACGCCATGACAGATGACATTTTACATCAAGCACGTAATGCAAGTGAACACACAGAATTACAATACACTGCGGAGATGTATAATCAATCATTAATTTACATTGAAGACATGTGTTTGATGATGGCGAATAAACTCCTTAATCAATTGGGACTGCCATCACCAAATCGAACCATTACAGAAGTTTGCAATCGTGAAATACAACGTGAAACACAGTACGATACCAATGCATTACATACATTTGTTCAAGACAACATAACAAACATGAATCAGCAGCAAACGCACGTCTACAACACTATTATGCAAGCCATCAATGAGAACAACGGTGAATTGTATTTCCTAGATGCTCCCGGAGGTACTGGAAAAACATATTTAATTGCGTTGATTTTGGCCACAGTACGATCAAACGGCAATATCGCGTTGGCAATAGCGTCTTCTGGAATTGCAGCCACTTTGTTAGATGGTGGAAGAACGGCACATTCTGCATTAAAATTGCCATTAAACATGCAACTAACAGAAACACCAACATGTAATATTTCGAAAACATCCGCAATGGCAAAGGTTCTTCAACAATGCAAGATTATTATATGGGATGAATGCACAATGGCACACAAAAAGTCTTTAGAGGCACTGGATCGAACCTTGCGAGATTTGCGCACCAACCAACAGCCATTTGTAAATGCGATTATATTATTAGCAGGTGATTTTAGACAAACTTTACCAGTCATCGCACGATCAACTCCAGCAGATCAATTAAACGCATGTTTAAAATCATCTCATTTGTGGCGATTGTTTCACAAACTATCGCTTACTGTAAATATGCGCGTACAGTTACAAAATGATGCATCAGCCAATTCATTTGCAAGCCAATTATTGGACGTTGGAAATGGAAAATGTGCTACGGACAATACAACAGGATTAATAACATTGCCTGCAGATTTTTGTGTTACTACTGAATCACAAGAGGAGTTAATTGCAAGTGTGTATCCCAACATTGTAGATAATTATACAAATCATCAATGGTTAAGCGATCGCGCTATATTGGCAGCTAAAAACAAAGACGTAAGTGATATTAATATTGAGATTCAAAACAAGCTTAGTGGCCAAACCAACATCTACAAATCTATTGATTGCGTTATGGATCCAGATGAAGCTGTAAATTATCCAATAGAATTTTTAAATTCACTTGATTTACCTGGAACTCCTCCTCATATTCTGCAATTAAAAATTGGTGTACCAATCATTCTGTTACGCAATTTACATCAACCAAGGCTTTGTAATGGAACAAGACTGGCTGTAAAACAATTGCTGAACAACATCATTGAAGCAACTATATTATCTGGCAAATACAAAGGCGAAAACGTATTGATTCCACGTATACCAATTATTCCATCAGATATGCCTTTCGAATTTAAGCGAATACAATTTCCCGTCCGACTGGCATTTGCTATGACCATCAATAAATCTCAAGGGCAATCGCTTCAAGTATGTGGATTACATCTTGAACCACCATGTTTCTCACATGGACAATTATACGTTGGATGCTCACGTGTTGGTAAACCGTCTTCATTATTCATCTTCACACATGCCAAAACAAAAAAAAATATTGTTTATGAAAGAGCGTTGCAATAAAGCAAACAATGGAATACAACTATTGTGTATTAATGTTAATTGTATGCCGTTCTCAATTTAGTTGCAATAAAGCAAAAAGAATAATAGTTTAATGTGTATTATTTCATGTTTTTGACATGTCGATGTTGGTGTTTTTAAGCCCACATCTTATGTCAATATGAACCCCACCGCCATCAACCTTCAGAACGACAGAGGAAGTGATACACTTTTCAATGAGGCCGTGTAATGTGTCAAACAAAAGATTTCCCTATTTTCCCTTGGACC